AGCTAAGAGCGAAAGTGCAATATTTTATATCAGATTCGTATTACATGACCACGTTGAGTTGCTGTCAGCCTGCCGGCTTCGTCGACGTATTAAAACGGCCGAAGGAATATTCTATTGCAGTCAACTGTCGAGAACGGTTGCAGCGCCATTTTCGCCATTACATTAGCCATAAGCTGGATTCGGGAATCGTTTTCGCGCGATGCTGAGAGCGAAGTGAATATTTTATATCAGATTTTACCATGCAACGTGCTGTCAGCTTGCCCGCTTCAAGTTCTAAACGCAATATAACAACAGCCGAAGGAATTATATTGCCAGTCAACGTCGACCAATCGTTGAACTGCCATTCGCCCATTAACTTAGCATAGCTGGGATTCGGGAATTCGTTCGCGCGATGTGAGATTCGAAGTGAATATTTTATATCAGATTTTACCATGCACACGTGCTGTCAGCCTGCCCGGCTTCAGTCGAAACGTATAAAAACGGCCGAAGGAAATTCTATTGCCAGTCAACGTCGAACAACGTTGCTAGCGCCATTCGCTTTACATTAGCATAGCTGGGATTCGGGAATGTCGCGCGATTTGCTGAGACGAATGGTGAAATATTTATATCAGATATTACCAGTGCACACGTGCTGTCAGCCTGCGGCTTCAGTCGAAAAGTATCAAAACGGCCCGAGGAATTTCTATTGCCAGTCAACGTCGACCAACACGTTGTCGCGCCATTTCGCCGCATACGATTAGCATAGTCTGGGATTCGGGAATCGTCGCGCGATGCTGAGCAGCGAAGTAAATTATTTGTATAATCGATTTACATGCACAGTGCTGTCAGCCTGGCCGGTTCAGTCGACGTTATAAAAACGGCCGAAGGAAACTTCTATTGCAGTTCAACGTCGGACAACGTTGCAGCGCCATTTCGCCATATATGTAGCATAGCTTGGGACTTCCGGGAATCGCGCGCGATGCTTGAGAGCGAATCGTGGAGATATTTTTATAGATTTTAGCCATGCACACGTGCGTGGTCAAGCCTGCGGCTTCAGTCGAAACGTATAAGAAAGCCGAATGGAATTAATTGCAGTCAACGATTCGACCAACGTTGCAAGCGCCTCTCGCCCATACTTACGCATAGCTGGGACTTCGGGGAATCGTCCGCGCGATGCTGAGAGCGAAGTGAATATTTTATATCAGATTTTACCATGCACACGTGCTGTCAGCCTGCCCGGCTTCAGTCGAAACGTATAAAAACCAGCCCGAGGAAATTCTTACTTGCCAGTTCACGCCGCATGTCAGAAATCAACGTTGCCGAGCGCCATTCGCCATCATTGCATAGCTGGGCACCGGCTCTCGCGCGCTGGATGACCTCGTTACGAGCGAACTGAATGAGGATATATATATTATATGCAGATCTGGAACTTTTACCGATGCGACACGTTCCCTGTCAGGCCTGTGCGCGCGCTCTTCAGCGTCGAACGGCTATAAATAACGCGACGACCGCTCGCCCGTTTAAGTGACTTGTTAGTTTGAGCCCAACGCTCCGGGTGCAGTGGCTACAACCTGGGTCGGTGACTGCAGCGCATTCGCCCATCTTGACATCTTAGAATTTAGCTGGGCATTCGGGCAATCGTCGCGCGATGCTGAGAGGTTGACAGGATATATTTTTATATGCAGATTTTACCATTGGCAGCCACGTGCTGTCAGCTCGGCTTCCAGTCGAACGCTATAAACAAACGGCGAAGGACAATTCTATTGCCAGTCGAACGTCGACCAAAACTGTATGCTAGCGCCATTCGCCATACATTCAGCATTAGCTGGGTTTCGGGAATCGTGTCCGGCGCGATGCTTGAGAGCGAGGTGAATTATTTTATATCCGATTTTACCATGGCACACGTTAGCTGTCAGCCCTGCGGCTTTCAGGTTATCGAACGCTATAAAAACGGTCCGAAGGAATTCTATTGCAAGTCAACGTCGACCAAGTTTGGCACGCGCCATTGCGCCCATACATTAGACATAGAGGCTGGCGATTCGGAATCGTCGCGCGATGCTGAGAGCGAATGTGATATTTTATTATTCATGATCGTTTACCAATTGCACGAGTGCTGTCAAGCACATTGCCCGGCCTTCAGTTCGAAACGTATTAAGAAGAACGGCCCCGAACGGCAAGATTCTATTGCCATGTCACGTGGCACCAACCTTTGGCCAGCGCCATTCGCCCATATCAGTTAGCATAGCTGGATTCGGGAATTCGTCGGCGAATGGCTGGCAGGAGCGAATTGGATATTTCGTATATCGAATTTTTACCTGCACACGTGTATGGCTGGTTCAGCCTCGCCCGAGGCGGCTTCAGTCGAAACGGTATAAAACGGGCCGAAGGAATTCTAATTGCCATAGTCAACGTCCGACCAACGTTCGCTAGCGCCATTCGCCCCCAGTTACCATTAGCATAGCTTGGGGATTCAGTGAATCGTCGGCCGCGATGCTGAGGAGCGAAGTTGAAGTATTTTATATCTCG